GGGAAGCACAGAGTGTTTTTGGCTCAAGGTGTTGTCTCCACGTCCCACTGTCCCGTTCCCTAAAGCCAACGCAGCCCCTGCAGCCCCGACCCTCATCCCTCCGCTCTCCCACCGCCCTCTGACTTCTCTCCCAACGCAGTGCCCTCCTACCTGGGGCGGCCAGGGAGACCAGCAGGAGGACAGCGAAGACGAGGCAGAGGAACCTCATGGCTGGAGGCGAGCTGGGGTGTGAGCGAGGCTGCAGAGAGCTGGAGGAGAGGAGCTGGGTGCTGCTGAGGGCACAGCTGGCATCCTGCTACTTATAGGGAGCATGAGCAGAGGGGAGGGCTGTGGGGAGGGCCTGCTGCTCACCACACCTCTCTTGGCTCCCCATGGCAATGGGAATGGCACTGAGCCTGCCTGATCTGAGGGAGCATTTGGACAGTCCTGTCAGACATAGGGTTTGCACTGTGAGAGGCCCTGAGTGGAGCTGGGAGTTGAATCTGACAGAATCACAGAATGGCCAGGGTTGGAAGGGACCTCAAGGATCATGAAAGTCCAACCCCCCTGCCACATGCAGGGCCACCAACCTCCTCATTTAATGCTAGTCCAGGCTGCCCAGGGCCCCATCCAGTCTGACGATCCTGCTGAGTCCCTTCCCACCTGAGGTACTCCGTAGTTTTCCTTCCTTCTCCCCTCTGCTGCCTTTTCTCCAGCTCTTGTTTCTCCCATGGAATGGAGCACCTCAGCATCTCCCAGCACTGCTTCCCTTTATCTCTTTGCAGACTCATCTGGACTCAACCTTTCGAATCCTTGTGCCTTAACTCAGGGAAGGAAATTACAGCTGCTCCTTTTGTATCCAGAAGAGGTGGATCCACACACTGTGGCTCTGCATGCTGAGCCAACGTTAGCAATAAGCAGTGGTGTTCATTTCAATTCAAATATGAATACCGTGAATAAGGGGTTCTCCTAATTCAAGAATTTATAGGAACTTACACATTCCATATCTGTAAGATAAACAATTGCTTGTCAAGAAAAAATAAAGAGGGTGTTCTGCAGCTTAATTCAAATAAATAGCATTATTCATTTAAGAAACTTAACAAATGACTGAATGATCTTATAGGTCTTTTCCAACCTTAGTGATTCTGTGAAATGTCCAGTTGCAGAAATGAGCAGAGTTATTTCCCTACAGTGCTCATGGGAAACTGGAATAGGACAGAGGGAGGCAAAGGGGAGAAGCAAAGGAAGAACAAGAGATCTGGGATGGTATGGGCACAGACAATTGGGATTAAAACAGAAGAAGCAGAGAAAACTGATAAAAGGGCAAAGGAGAAAGAGAGGAAAGAGTGAGTTTTTCTCCAGTTTATTCTTCAGAAAAGTTCACATACATGATTTATGGCTTTTGGAGTCCTTACTGCATTCCACTACAGTTTGCCTTGAGCAGAGCACTGTGAAGGTGGTAGTCTT